CGCCCGGCCTGGCAGCGGCCGGAGGCCTTTGTGGTTCGGGCAGGTGCCTCCACAGGCTTCCACTCTGATAGCACTGGGGGCGGAACGGGCCGCAGGGTCCGGTCCAGACTGGGCACATGCCAACCCAGAAGAGATACAGCCGGGGTGTGTATATATGGGTGGTGGGCGAGAACCCGGGACAACCCGGATCCGGGGACACGACAGAACCGGCCTTAGGCCAGAGTAACCCCCGCCCAGCCTCCCAGCCATTCACTGCACTTGGATGAGCGAGGGTAAGGCGCCTACTTGTGCTGGGCGCGAAACGCCTTCAACCGAGCCGCCTCCTCGCCCCAGTTCTCCGCGAGTCCGACAAGCACAAATTAAACGCCTACTGTAAGGAAGGCACCGCACGGCGCTCCGTGGGCGTACAAAGAGGACCCGATCAGCGCCCGAGCTTAGCCTCGATGGCGACTCCCAATCCCAAACCACACCTCCCGCCCTGTCCCCAGCAGCTGGGCTCTTAGGCGCACCCCGATCCCCGCCCTTTTGTACGCCTCAGGGAAAAACAGAGGCAGCTAGATGAATGTCCCAGCCACGGGAGAACCGCCCAGCGCCCCCCAAGCCATCACCCACTCCTCCGGGATGCTGCGACTGCGAGGATCCGTCGGTCGGTCCGTCTCTCTGTCTCGCCACGATGCGGGAGCTGCGGGTGCTCAGGGCGGCGGCGGCTGCAAGCGCGCTCGCTCGGTGGCCGCCTTAGCGCGCCTGGCGCTGGAGTCCGAAGTGGCGAGCGGGGGAGGGGAGGCCGGTGGGGGCTGGGAGAGGCCTCCGCCAATCACGGATCAGACGGCTCCTCCCCAGCACTCCCCACCTCGAGCTAGCAGGTTAACCGGGAGGCGGGGACAGGCGGGCCCCCCCATCCTCAGAGCGGCGCTCGGCATTTGCCTTGGGACTACAACTCCCGACAGGCCCTGCTCCAGGGCCGGGGTCCGAGAGGGGACAGAGGGCGCGGCCCCAGAACCCGCTGACCCCTCTCGCGCCCTTCTCCGCGTTCCTTTGGGTTTCCATAGTGACTCGCGATACTTCACAAAGCCCCGGCGCTGAGACGCGCTGATGCGCGGTCCCCTGGGAAGGCTACGAGGCGGGTCCCGAGGACACAGCGCTTCCCCTCCCCCTGCAAGACCCCACCCGAGGGGCTGAAACAATGCCGCGGCTGCCTCCCCCGGGGCTGTCGAGCCTGCCCTTTGCTGGGGGCCTGGCTGAGGCTGAGCGCTAAGTCTCAGTCCGACGCCAGCAGGATTGCAGGGTGCAGAGAGGTGGTCGTCACAGGAAAACTGTGCTCTCGTTCAAAGTGGACGGCCACTCGGGGCCACCTCGGTTTGCATCTGCCCTCTGCGAGGTCTCGAACACAGAGTTCAATCTCTGGACGGCGGGATTTTGCTCAGCGCCGCGCTGGGCCGTAACTGCCCAGAGCGCTCAGGCCCAGCAGCCTGTCCTATTTCTGGCATCTCCATTCGAGCGATGGTGAAGCCTCGGGAAATATTTATAACCCAATTTAAATTCGCTTCATCTTTTTTTTTTCACGTCTTAAATATATAATGATTTAACAAAAACAACAAATCTAAAAAAGGAGAATGATCATCACCGCTTCGCCCCACCTCCCCAGTTTATCCCACCCCAGCCTTTGCTATAGACCGTGTTCTTTTCTGTAGTTGTAATTAATAATAGCTTAAATCGGCCTTAGCAATTTGCCTGTTTTCGTTTAATGTCACTCCAAAGGCATTGCCAGACGGTGTTAAAATGCAGCACCGAGTATTCTCACTCCAGGCTCATCCCCAGTCCCCTGGGGTATCCTATCAGTGCTGCTGCAGAAGCCGCTCTCCTCCTGGGTCCCCTGGAATCCGGTGGGGGCTAGGAGTCCCCCGGCTGCACAGCCATGATGCGGTGAGGCGATTCTCTCTGCGGGACATTTCTCAATACTATGATGCTTCTCTACATGGCATGGGGGTGGAGGGCTCTATCAGTCTCAGCTTAGTCTACACTGGCGCGGACCGGCGGAATCCCCGCGGGCCACTTTCTCTGCGGTGCTTTCCAGGTTGAGTTTGGGGCCTGGCACAGGGCAGGCTGGCAGTCAGGGGATGCAGTTGTAGACTACCTCATTGGGTCTCCACCTTAGGGAGGAGAATTTGCTTCTTCTCACTCTCCTTTACTCCCCTCCGCATCGTGAGCGCTTGCTGGGAGCTCCCGGATGACCCTAGAGCCTCCCGAAAGCACACCGACCCAGGGGAGCCCGGGATGAGGACGTGCAAACTGTTCTAGCTTGAGGCACTACCCTCTGACTGCCACGTTGGCCGGGCTGGGACCGGGGATTTAGGCAAAGTGTATTGAGCCCGGGAGACAGGAGTGGAGCAGAGTTGGCTCCCAGCACCCAGGTGGGCGGTCTGCCACTTCCCAGCGAAGCTGCACTCTTTGCCTAGGGAGGAGGGCGCCCTCTAGTGGCAATCCGCGTTCTCTGCGGCGTTTAGCGGATCCCAAATCTGGACTCTTGCTCCTTTGCTTTCTGGAGGTCAAAGACCCCTGGACAATGAAAGGGCTGCCTCAAGGTAATTGATCTGCCTGGAGCATTGACAAAGGTCGCAGGTGAAACTGAAGATGCAAAGTGTTCTCAGTTCTTGGTTTTTGCTTCTTTTTTTTCCCGTTTAAATCAGATCCCTCCTAAAGATTAGTAGAGAGTATAAATCTTGGAGTCATACATTCTCGAATTGAAATCCTTGCTACCCCTACTCTCTGACGACTTAACCTGGGGCAAGTGACTTATTTCACCCGAAACTTAGCTCCCACCGGAACTAAGGGTCGGAATTTATTCTTTTAAGCTTCCTGTGATATGATGACAGGAAATGCACATCAAGGGTGTAGGCGCGGCCTGGCATGGAGTGTGCGTTCAACACGTGTAGCTATTATTATTCACTTATTCAACAAAACATGGCTATTACCCAGTGTGAGAGATAAGAGACTGCATGACTCTCCCCTCAATGGCAGACAGAAAAGGCAGTGCGCTGTGGCTTCTGTTATACCGCTCATAGGACCAGGTCGGACGAAGTAGCGCAGGAATTCAGATGAAAGAGCAGTTTGGGGCAGACCAGCAGGAAAGGAAGAAGCTGGATTTGGATTCCCCCTGGGTAGTGATTTTCATGCCCAGGCAAATCTGAGACTCCAGGATGAAGGAGTAAAAACTTGAGGGTGGGTGAGCTGAGGGGTGTTTGGAAGGTCATTTTCACATGTCTTGAAAGTGAAGTCCATGAAAGAGAGAGGTGGGAAGAAGATGGTGTAGAGGGAGATGGAGCTCACAGAGCCCTCAACAAACTTCAAAATAGGGGGCAAGTTAAGGGCTGTGGGCAAAGGAGGAGGGAGGAAGACCACGTTTTCTAAACTTCTGTTAGGAGCCAGGATCTGTTAGGTGTTTTACAGCACATCAGTTAATCCTTACAATTCTACGTAGCAGGTGGCACTGAACATTTTTTTTTAAGAATTATTTACTTTTATTTATTCATTCATTTTATTTTTAATTTGACCAGAAAAATACACAGAGAGAGAGAGTGAGAGAGGGAAAGTGAGAAAGCAAGCCACCAGGTCCGAGACTCAAACTGTGGTAGGCCATGTGGGAGTCCAGCACCCTTATCCACTATGCCACCTACCAGCCCAGCACTGAACATTTCTAACAGATGATGGTATCTGGACATAGAGGGGGTAAGGAAGACAAAGTTTTATTTCCAAATTAAATGTTTTTAAAGTTTTTGCTGTAGAGCACATGCACTCATCAGAGAGAGACACAGAGAGAAAGAGAGAAACTCCCCCGCCCAGGGGGATGGCTATACTGCAATCCCTTCTCCTCCAGTCTCCTCTCAGGATTTTGGGCATGCGTAAATACATGCCCGGCGTGTATTATAGGCTGCCGGATTGGGAACTCTAACCATGGAGTGGAACAGCCATTTGGGATCCAGTGCCTTAACCACCACACCATCTATGGGCCCCACATATTTTGTGAAACTTTTATCTGTAAGTATTTTAGTGGTGTGTGTGTGTGTGTGTGTGTGTGTGTGTGTGCGTGCGCTAATGAAAATGTGTGAAGGTATTGTCCAAACACGTAACATTCCCCTCTCCCCCGCACTTGGCTTCGCTCTGCCCTCTCTGCCTCAGGGAGCAGCCTCTGGCCAAAGCTGTTCTCTGGGAAATGCGCATGCCCCTAGAGGCGAGGTGCCCCCTAGTGGTGAGGTGGGAGCGAAGGTAGCTGAATTGAGTGACTAGAATTAAGCTGATTAGGAAACCCTGTAAGGGTCTGAGGAGGCTGGGTGCTTGGGTGTGCCCATGCTCCTTCTACCATGGAGGTGTGGACTTTGCACGCTGACCACCACTGGTGCCTCTTGTAAGTCTAACAAACCAATGACTTTATCTTGAGGTGACTTCTTTGGAACAGGTAAACATTACATGCAGGCCTCTTCAGGTTGGGGTGTGTGCTACAAAATGGTGTCTTTTTAGTTTCATTGCTGGAAAAATGAACAATTGGCATAGTTATACAAGGGGTCTTTAATTAGTTTATGGAAAATGTGTAATGTGAAAAAAACTGTGCAGGGGGGCCAGCAGTTAGCGTAATGGCTATGTCGCTGGACTCCCATGTAGTCGACCGCGGTTTGAATCCCTACCCGGTGGCTTAAACTCATGCCGGGCACGTGTGCATGCGTGCCCAAGATCCCGAGAGGAGAAGGCATTGTGGCTTGGCCATCCCCCCTGGGGGATGATTTCTCACTTTCTGTCTCTCTGTCTCTCTCTGTCTGTCTAAGTGCACGTGCCCTGTAGCAAAAACCTCTCAAAAAAAAAAAGCCCTTTAGCAAAAACAGCAAAAAAAAAAAAAAAAAAAAAAACTGTGCATGGATTTAGAATTGTTTTTGCATTGAAATAAACACATATGCTAATTCCATTTTCCCACAAACTATTTGAAGTCCCCTAGCAGTGAAGGCAATTGACTTTCGTACATTAACCTTGCATCCTGAAATTTTGCTCTAATTGTTTATTTAGGGAATCTTTTTTGGGGGGAGGTGGTTACATAGATATTCATCTTCAAACAAAAATGGTTTTATTTCTTCCCCAATATGTGTATCTTTTTAAAAAGAATTATTTAATTTTATTTACTACTATTATTATTTTTTTTTTTTAAAATTGCTACAGGACCGGTAAATGAGAAAGCAAGCCACCAGGTCTGGCCTTGAACTGTGGCCGGCCATATGGAGTCCAGCGCCTTAAACACCAGGAAGGACTCAAACATGACTGGCCGCATGGGAGTCCAATGCCTTACCCACCATGCCATATACTGGTCCCATCAATCTTTCTATCTTTTATCTCCTTCTCTGCCTTATAGCATCAGCTAGTACCTCCAGTATGATGCTGAGTAGCAATGGTGAAAGGGGAATTCATTGCTCTTTTTGCTCCTGATCTTAGAGGGAAATCACCTAGTTTCTCACCATTAAGAATAATGGCAGCTGTAGATTTTGTGTTGACATTCTCTATCAAGGTGAGGGAGTTTCTCTCTATTCCTATTCCTTTATTCCTCTGTGCTCACTTTGTCTTCCTTACACTCTATTTTTTTCTCATGTCTTGTCATTTTTTGTGGAAAGCCAGACTGGATTTACTGGGTAAGAGAAACTGAGGTAATTAGGATTTTCATGAGGCTCTATGTTAATTTGGCCCAGAGCTGAGTTGTGTTTGCTATAGCTGTGGGTGCCAGAGATTTGCTTCCTTGGGGTTTCTTTCTCTTTCTCTTCTTTTCCGCCCGCCTGCTTTCTTCCTTCCTTATTTCATCTGGCTGTTCTTATTGTTGTTTCTCCTCTGTTGCCTTTGGATTCCCTCTAATAACTTCTTAGAGTCCGCGATTTTGCAGCTCTCTTGGTTGTAATACTTCTTTTTTCTTTTTAAAAGCATCAGTGGTGTTGGATTTTTGTCAAATGCTTTTTCTGGGCCTGGCGATGGAGGCAGAGGTGGTAGGACACCA